CTCGAATAATTGAACTCAACTCGTTTTTAAATCAAAAATAAACTTTTAAAAATTATATATCACTTCTTAACTCGCTCTACTCAGAACTTCCACACAAGCCATTAATATTCCATGTGCTCGCAGAATTGCGTGACACACGCGTGGTGTCCACGCAATAATTACGTCATTAATTATAACAATAACGTCTGTTAAGAAATAATGCTTCGTGAGAGGAGAGGTATTTCACATGATTTCGTAGTGAACACGTCTACGCTCTACGCATTTAAATCCGTGACTTATTTTAACAATATAATACGAAAAATGAAGATAAATTTAACGAAACATTAGTTTGCCAAATTAAAACTGTAGTGGGTGCGTCGAAGGTTGGAAGGGCAAAAAGGTCCTCAAAGGTAGGCCATGATAACATCTGGGAGAAACAAAGCCTCGTGACGGGAAATATAGTGTTTCGCTTTTTTCGTTGCAAAATACACCATGTCTACGGCGCCTACGCAATTAAATCAGTAAGTTTATAAATGTTATCTGCTGATTTGTGTCTGATATCGGAAAGACTATACTACGAATACTTTAGGGAAGCTATGTTATAAAATTCAGAATCTGAATTCAATCACGCAAAAAATATACTACGAAACATTTCAGTGGTTTATCAGGCCATCAGGGCTGTTCGCCAAATTAAAAGTGCACTCAGTGCTTCGAAGGCGAATAATTTCCCCACAACTAGGCACATTATAACGTCTCCATGAGAAATAAAGCATCGCGAGGGGAAAGATAGTGTTGCGCACGATTTCGTAGCAAAATAAACCATGTCTACTGTCTACGCAATGAAATCAGTAAGCATGTAAATGCTACCTACTGACCTGTGTCTGAGTGCAAAGATATAGTACGAATACTTTTAGTAAGAATACAACTATTTTCCTTATACAGGGTTTGAATATCGGCTAATATCTATTATCAGGTATTTCGGTTTGCTCAAGCATATTCCCCGAAAGCCCCAAATTTTCGTGGAATGTCAATTCCGCGAACGATCTTCGTAGACGGCCGGCCAACCTCAGTAAAAGTGCTTAGAAAACACCTTTGATGGCATTTCGTGTTACAAGCAGGCAACCACCATAGAAATGTAGCTTAGACTTCAACAAAAACGATTAGGCAGGTTGCCATCCGAGTTTCGAACCTTTTATGTGAAAATTTTGAGGTTATCTGCTGCTATTTTACGCGCTACAATCTTGCTTCGAGTGGGTTGAAAATTCCAATTTGGTTTCTATAGCAACAAGCCAACAGCTTCGTTATGATACTTTCTTGTGATTGGCCAGGATGTAATTTCCTAGCCAATAAGAAGGCGTAAATAAATATCTTAATTCCGGCTAATAGCTTCCGGCGAATTGCATGGAAATTTTTTCGATCTAAATATTAGCGAAGTCAGTGTATGTCAAGCGATTTTTGGAATAATTTAACAGGAAAGCAATTGAAAGTTTGTATAGTATTTAAGTTTCTGGTTATTTTTATTATTACAATATTGTTAGTTGTATTTTTTTATTGCACGGTAGTTGTTAACAGGGTAGTTGTGCGTGGGTGTTGACAGATTGATTTTGCCAATTTGACAATTTCTATTTTTAACTGAAATTAAGTTTATAAAGACATTTCTAATAAATTAAATTATTAAATAAATTTGCTTCGGTGAGAAACACCACAATCAATTATTTACTGTACCAAAACTTTTAATCAAAAATCCTGTGAATCATCATAATATTTTAATTATAATTTTCTTTGTACAGAATGGCCATGGTGTTATCATAGATTAGGAAATGAATAGATGGCTCACTCCTTTGATGTTTTTGACGCTTCCGGCACCCACGCATGTTCTTGCGAGAGTAATGGCGGCCTAGCAAGCAACTTTAGTAAAATGCATTGTAAAATTGACATCGGTTCTACTAAATCCTGTATTTTTATAATTCTGATTTATTTTTCCATTAAACCCCACGAAATCAGCGGAAAAATACAGGATTTAGTAGCGCGGATATCAATTTAACAATTCATTTTATTATAGTTCTTGCTAGGCCGCCATTACTCTGGCAAGAACATGCGTGGGTGCCGGCAGCGTCAAAAACATCAAAGGAGTGAGCCATCTATTCATTTCCTAATCTATGGTGTTATTACCATTTGCATTCAAGCGTTACCCCACGCCGCGAAAACACGTTGTTTCCGAGTTTTTCAGCAAGCGTTTTGATTGGACAACTTGACGTCTTACGTGTCAAAATAGTGATGACAGGGGGCGTAACTTTGCGTTTTGCAACGGTCAATATGATTTATATATTGTTATAAATCCCTCTGCCACTTTTGTCGTTTAGTATTTTGGTTTCATTGCATGATTAAAATGTACATACTGTTCATAAACACATTTAATTTGTCGAACAATTGGTAAAACATTAGTCCTTTTAACTTTAATTAGTTGACCTGCATCTAAGGACTTATAGCCTCATTAATATCATTAACTCAAGGAAAGACACGCAAAATCACAGTTTCTTATTGGCTCTCACTATACGACCTATACGCAAAACATGGCTAAATGCAAAATTGTAAGATTCTATTGGCTGTTGTATTACCTGCCTTATATGCATAGTGATTATATGCAAATCATTACTATACGCATGCAGATAGTGATTTTGACAGACTGCGCTCACAACCCACTCTAATCTGCCCAATGGGATTTGTTTTTAGTCTTCACTAAACTACAAAAGACAATTTCTTTAGCTAAAAACATACTCCAGCTGCATGCATGACTCAAAGTTGTAAAAAATTTCAGACAATGCAAATTAGCGCTAATATGAAACCGGCAAGTTCTGTGAATGACACATAGCTACAGCTGACAATTGCGTGTGCATATAGGCAAAGATGGAAAACGAGATCATCAATTTGAATCTGTTGTGTCTAAATCTGAATAATATATTTCAGATTTTATTTTGCATTTATATACCTGTTATTAATGCGGCCATGAGTGAATCAATAGCTCGAACATCAGATGAAACCGAATTGAACATGCTTATTGCTACTATGGGTACATTAATTCGATCATTCTATAAACTCGTGGCACTAACAGCAACTTGCACTGACTCATCACTACTTCGAGCTCGTATACATAACATCCTTTTCCCTGATTTTGTTGGCTCTGATTTTCCTGGGAGAGACGTTTTCAGTGATCTGGAAAGGTAAGAACATCTCTTTTGGAATCTGACTGGTGAAAGTGTCATGTCATTTACGCAAATTGTTGAAGACGTTGGACCGATCATGTCAATGTATACCAGACGAAGGCAGCCTCGAATTCGAAACAGCGCATTTAAGCTTGATACTTATAATCGAATATTGATGGTGCTTATCTGGCTAAGAATGTATCCTGAAATGTCAATGCTGAGTGCTCTATTCATGGTGAGCCATAGTACAATGGAGAGAGAAATTCGTATTTCCGAGACTTGGCTAGATATGGCGCATGATTGGGAACACTTTCCGGGAGCATTGGTGCTATTGATGGAATAAGGCATGAAATCCAGAGACCACAGACAGAGCCACAACAACATTTCTACAGCGGACACTGCAAGTACCATAATTTTTCCACTCAAATAATTATGGATAGCCGTGGCAATAGAGTTTATATACAATCCGGTTTTCTGGGACATAACAACGACAGCGCGCAGCTTCGAAAGATGCCAAGAATTGGAAATGGGGAAGAGCTCCACCTGCCAGCAGGTTTATACTTCCTTGCTGACAAAGGATGCCCGTGCGAATACCCTTTCCTTACGCCATGGAGACAACGTGACGTGGCTGGAAATCAATGCCGACATCTGCTACATCTTGAATTGCGAAGAAAGCGAGTGAGGATCGAACATTGTATTCGGCGAGGAAAAGAGCTGTGAACCAGTTATGGCGTCATGAACGATTGATGTTTCCTGTCGTCAATGAACTCTGTGCATTTTTAGCGCAAAGACACATTACTCTTTCTGGGGTAATCAAGGCAATTGATATTAATCTAAATCGCCCGCAATCACTTATAACAGTTTTTGTGACGGAACCTCGTGAATTTCATGTTTACCGCATTAAAGAATAAGACTAGTTATATTCTATCCAGGGATTTTTGAAAGCGACTGTACCACAACTTTAACATTAATACCTTGTCGTATTCGTCTGTTACACCACATTTTTGTGTCAGTCAGGATTCGTTCGTAAGGCTGCACTCTGATGCTCGGCAACTTTTTTGCAACTATTAGAATTTTTAATTGAGCAACTTTTCAGAAGATTTTGAGCAAATGTTTAGCAACTTTTCAAGAAACTTTGAGCATCCTGTGGACAGCCCTATTTGGTTGTATATATTTTTCATAAGGAAAGTTGAGTGATAAGAATTGTTATAATATTGTTTGCCCAAAACACAATATTGACTTTGGTCAAAAGGCGTGGTTGTGTGCGCATGCAAAGAACAATTAAGTATAGATATTGCGTGACTCAACATTTCTATCTCGAAAAAAATAACTAATACTAATGCTAATTACTGTCAAACTGTAGTTAAAAGTTGAATATCCTGTAAATATGGAGTGATTATACTTAAAATGTAAATAACTATATACTGTAGAATATATACACACAAATTCTTAACACAACAAATTAGACTAAAGTGCTAATTGTCTAACTGACGTTGAGTCAGTTGATTAATTTGTTCCATTGTATATTGTAACTGATTCGTAAGTTGGGGGATTTCCCCAGTTAAAAGCACGTTTAGTGCCTCTGCATTTTCTCGTGCAATCTCGTGATAAGGTCGCCTGCCGGCTCGTGCGTTAACGTTTGGCACTGGAATTGCGTGGTCAACAGGCTGTGGAGGTGGAACTTCTTCCTCATCTTCTTCGTCCTCTCCAGGAAACAAACCTTCAGCGTCGTTTGGGTCTTCGCGAAGGTCCTGGCCTTTGGGTTGAGGGGGTGGAACAAGGTTATTAGCCTCGATGAAACCGTCAGCATAATTTCGTAATGGAATGTTGCCATTTTCATTGCCATGTTGTTGCACATTAAAAACGAAATTAGCTTGATGGTTAGCATTGACAGGAGCGATATGCTGTTGGACGGCTCCTCGGGCAGCTCCTCTTTCAAGAGGATCCATTTGATTTGCGTATCGCATTTCATTTATTTTATTTAGCTCTTTCTAGCAAACCCCTAAAACAAGAACTTTCAGTATCGTCTTCAAAGCCAGATGTAAAAGGAAAACATTTAATTTTACTAACTGCCGTTGCTCTCTTCCAATGAAGTCACGCACTCTTCTTCGGACTACAGGACGTTCGGCTGCATTATTGTAACGCACGCGGACATGTTCGGGAAGTTGTTGAAAACGTTCGTCCCGTCTTACAACATTAACGATGACGTCCCAAAGAGCACCGTTCCTGTTGTACATCTCGTGAAGCATTTTTCGTTCCTCTTGACGAATTAATCTTCGGGGTTGTCTTGGTCTTGGAGGCATGGCTCAAATTGTTGTTGTAACACGCTTGCAGAATGCACTTTAGCTTATGATATAATTTATGCGTATATATGAACTAAATCTATCGATGACTTGGATTGTTCTTTCGAGAGGAACGTCGAAAAACGCATTTACGATGATAAAGAATTGCCAACTAAATTAAAGAGATCTACTCTACGAAAGCTAATACGTGACACCTGCAAGAAGACCGTCTTCAGCTGCAATGACGCCTATTACGAACAAATTGATAGTATTAGCATGGGTGGCTCTCTTGGTCCAGTGATGGCGAACATTATCCTAACCGAATTTGAGCGCATTGTAATTAATCGTCTAATTAATAGCGGCATAATTAAATTCTATTGCCGATATGTAGATGACACACTACTACTAATCAAACATGACGACATTGATTTCCTTCTGAACGAATTCCACTCTTTTTACCGTAATATACGTTTTACTTATGACGTATTTTCAGACGAACCACCACACTTTCTAGATCTTAACCTAGATGGCAACAAGTTTTCCATATACCGAAAACATACTTTTACAGGTCAATACACTCACTTTGACAGTTTCGTACCATGGAAACATCGCATTGCATGGACTCGCTCTCTTCTTGGTCGAATTAACAAAATCTGTTCACCCACGAAACTAGCCCAAGAATTGCAATTTCTTAAGAAAATTGCGTCATGGAATGGGTATCCTGAACGTGTTGTCTTTTCACTCATAAAACGCTTTAACCAAAACACAACAAACGACCAAGCAACAACACGGCAGAGTCGAACGAAACTAGACCGACGCTTTGGCTAGAAATGCCATACATTTGTACGAAAGGCGAACAACTTTTACGTGCACTCAAGAGGAAACTATACGTTGTCTCAACATTATGAACGTGCAGATTAGGACGAGAGTAACAACAACTAAACTAAACTTGTTTACGAACGCAAAAGACAAAGTACCTAAACAAAACAAATCCAACGTTGTATACCAAATTACCTGCCCTAAATGCAACAACAGCTAGATAGGCAAGACTGACCGAACGCTTCTAGAACGGGTAAAGGAACATGCGTACAAAGACAAGGAAAGTGCTATGTACAAAAACTTAGACTGCTGCTACGACAAAACATTCTTAACATCACAATCTAACACACAACTGACAGAACTTGTACTCTCAAACACTAAGATCATAGATTCTTCCACAAACTGGAATTTATTACTATATAAAGAAGCGCTACACATTAAAAGACGTAAATCAAATCTTAATAATGGACTAAAAGCTAGTAGAGAACTACAGTTATTTAATTAATTAACGTGCGCTGAATGAAAGAACTACGTGAACTGCATCATCACGAATAAATGCTATTGATTGCTTACGCACTTTTGCGCACGCTAGCTTGTTTAAAATTGCTCACGCTTGTAAATATAACGACATATCTTGCAAAACACTGCTGAAGATGAATCTGATTTAGATTCGAAATATACAGTTTTAATAAATTGTGTGTTAATATTATGCACTCCTTATTCGGAATAACTTTTGTTTTATTTTTGCTGAAATTATCAGCCGGAAAAGAATTCTGGAACATGCATGTCTTTTGTGCATCATGTTAAAGCGGGTCCTTCGAACTTATAGCTCGATCGATCGTAGTGAATAGTTATACTCATATACGCAAATATTTGTCATGGCAAGATTCGAAGAGAAGATGCGTTCCCCACGCTCTTCTTATATATAGAATGAAATGTGACTGAATGTCTTTGTGTATACAGTTTATTAGTTTATGTTTTGCAGACCTCGATCAGTAATCAGGTCTCAGGGGAATTCATGCATGTTGTAAATCCGCAATATTCTTTACATGAATAGGCAATGTACAATGAAGTGGAAATATTTCATCTATCAAAATCATTTGCATTTAATAATTGCTTTATACTGGCTTTAATACTGCCCTTAGATTGCATAGTTAATATACTAAAGCCTGCATGTTTTCCACTAGGCGGAATTTTGCGCGCGGAGCGGAATCTTTCTTTGTCTTTTCTAATTAGTTCCACCCGATAAATCACAAGACAAAGAAAAATTCCGGTCCGCGCGCAAAATTCCGCTTAGTGGAAAACCGGCTTAACAACTTACTGCGGACGTCGCACAACAAACAACGAGGTGATCATGGAGAACGAAATTGTTAATTTAATTGTTTTATTTCCGAATTTAAACAATATTTTAAAGTTTTGTGTACCATCTACATACCTACCATTAATACCGCGTTTGACGTTTCCAGTTTGGGAAACCTTTTTCAAGCATTTTATCAATTAATTACTTTAGTTGCAACATGCACTCACAGCTCACTACCAAGGCCACGTATTCAAAATGTCTTATTTCCCGAGTTTTTATGTTCTGAATTCCCTGCAAGAGATGTTTTGAGCGATTGGGAAAGATGCAAACATCTGTTCTGGAGTCTGACAGGCGAAAGCGTAGAGTCCTTTACACGAACAGTTCAGGATGTTGGGCCTGTAATGTCCATGTACCCGTCAGGGAAAAGTTTCAACCGTAGAAATAATTTAATTTACATTAGTGGCCATCAAACCAAAAAAACGCCCTTACTCTCTTCTCTACCGAATTTATTTGTTTCTAATTCAAGATCGCTGATCAGCAAGATTGACGAACTGTCTGCTACAGTAAAATCCTATACATCAGACATTGTCGTTGTTACCGAAACGTGGCTTTCTTCAAATGTTCCCAATTCAGCAATAGATTTATGCGGTTATTCCTTACTGAGGCATGATCGTTCTGACGGCAGACGAGGAGGTGGAGTCTGTGTCTTTGTAAAGGACATGCTTCCTTTCATTCATCTTAAAGAGATTGAAAGTCACGAATATGAGTCGCTTTGGTTACTCTTAAAACCTCACCGCTTGCCTCGTGTTTAAATTCAATTGTATTGGGAATCGTGTACCATCCACCTGGAAGTGACGATAAAGCCCTTCTTTCACACCTTACCGAATCAATCGATTCTGTCCTTTCCACCAATCCCGGTGCAGGAATTATTTTTGCCGGAGATTTTAACCAATTTAAACATCGCCAGTTATGCAGTTCCTTTAACCTCAAGCAGTTAGTCAAAGACGCTACTAGAGGAAAGAATATTTTAGATAAAATATTTACCAACATTTCTAAATTTTATACTTCTGCCCTGGTAATTTCTCCAATTGGACATTCCGATCATAATTCCATCGTTCTTAAACCTCTTCCAGCTAACTCTTATGGTGGCACAAGGTCTACACGCTTAGTACGAGACTCTCGCCCAACCAATCGTCGAATTGTTAGCGATCATCTGTCGAAAGTTAATTGGTTACCTTTGCACCATATGGAATCTTGTGACGAGCAGTTCCAGTATTTTTCCACCATCGTAGATAATATCATAAACGAACATTTGCCTTGGAAACAAATCAAAATTGATTCTAGTGACAAGCCTTGGATTACTTCCGAAATAAAATCTCTTATTTCCAAGCGTCAAACAGCATGGGCGGCTGGCAATAACCCGATGTTCAGATTCTATCGAAACAAAGTCAATGCACTTTGCAAAAAAGCACGACTAAATTACTACAATAAAAGTATCGCGGGCGTTCAACAGTCCGATTCTCGTAAATGGTGGTCAGCGGTGAAGAATATTGCCGGTCTTCAGTCTTCTAAGAATGTATCTACAATGATGTTCCAAGGTAAATCCTACTCTGATGCCGATTTAGCAAATTTGCTCAACGACAAGTTCGTTGCTGTAGGGTCCTCCTTACCCAATCTAAACTGGCTCCCCCTTCCCACAAATGACATTCCAGATGATTTCTGCATCTCTGTCGAGGAGACTGAAAAGGCCCTATTATCATCTAAACTTCATTCATCTGCTGGTCCCGATGAAATTCCTTCTTGGCTTCTCCGGGAAAACGCTTCAGTGTTGTGTCGACCTTTGTGTTCTATTTTTAATTCATCAGTTTGTGAAGGATTTGTTCCCTCAATATGGAAGGCAGCAAATATTACACCAGTTCAAAAATCTTCGCCTCCTAAAGATGTTGATTCTGACTTCAGACCAATTTCCCTCACACCAATTATCAGCAAGATTCTTGAATCCTTTCCCTACAAATGGCTACTTGACTCCGTCTCAAAAAAAATGATTCCTTGCAATTTGGTTCGCTGAAGGGTTCAAGCACTAGTATGGCATTAATCTACATGCTACATAAATGGTTTGAAGCAGCTGACAAACAAGGTAACACTATACGGATTTGTTTACTTGATTTTTCCAAGGCGTTTGATAGATTAGATCATAACATTCTGTTGGAAAAATTGAAAGACATGGAAATTCATCCCGTGTTACTCAACTGGATCGCAAACTTCCTAACAGGCAGACAACAAAGAACCCGTGTTGGTCAGTTCTTTTCTGAGTGGAAGTTTTTAAACGCCGGCGTCCCACAAGGAACGAAGCTTGGCCCGCTATTATTTTTGGTCATGATAAATGACTTGGCTGTAGTGGATGAAACTGTTAAATTTGTCGATGATACTAGCCTTTGGGAAATAATATCAAACAATTCCCCTTCCCAGTTACCCGCTAACATCATCAGCTGCTCTGAATGGTCATCAGACAATAATATGAAGTTAAACGAATCAAAGACCAAAGAATTGCGTGTCTGCTTTTCTAAGCTTACTCCATCGTTTGCCCCTATTACCATTCGCGGTCAAGAGGTCGACGTCGTTTCCGAGGCCAAACTATTGGGCGTTGTCCTTTCGGACGACGTCAAATGGAACTGCCATATTGACTACATTTGCAAGAAAGCCGCGAAGCGTTTGTACGGTCTGCGCCTTCTTAAAAGAAATGCTTTACCTTCTCATATTCTGATCTCAACCTATTGTACACATATTCGACCAATTGTCTAATATGCTTGTCAGGTGTGGCATTATGGCCTTCCTCATTACCTGAGTGATCAGGTTGAAAAAATACAAAAAAGGGCATTAAAAATTATTTTCCCTGGAACTATCTATGCTGAATGTTTGCTTAAAGCTAACTTGATGACTCTTTACGAACGTAGAACAATAATAATAATAATAATAACTTTAATTTGAGCAAATCGTAGTCAAAGACTAAATTAAATTTACCCATTACAATGTTGCGTTAGAAAGGTAAAAGGGGAAACAACTACAAACATCAAAACTAAGAATACTGTATAGTATATACTGAATTATTTACACTAGATTCTAAAAAGTCATCATTTTAAAAATATGTAGGGCTATAATTCCCTATGTTCTTCCTAATCGTATTGTTCCATTTCACAGCAGATTTGACAATAAAATTGTTTCGAGATCTATTAGTTTCATATGTTGGCAACTGGAACTGTATTCCAGAGGCCTGGGACCTGGTATTATAATGAGTTTGGTAAGTAGGTGGTAAAAGGTCATGTAGTTTATGGTTTTCCTTCATGATGTTGGAGAAAAACATGTCACACAGGTCTTCCAATCTCACACATAGCCGAGGGATGCCAGCAAGATCTAAGGCTTCTTGGTAACTAGTATCAGGGAAAATTATTCGCATGATCCTGCGTTGGATGGATTCAATTTGTTCTCTAAGGTATTCAGTAGTACTGTAAAACCATGCAGGGCAAGCATACTCCAATACTGTTCTTACGCACGTTGAGTAGAAAGTGACCAAGTCCGTATCTGCAATGCCCGCCCTTTTCAGAAGTCTCACAGAGTAAATACGCTTCGCAGCTTTCTTTGTTATCATATTGACATGCTCATTCCACTTAAGATTTGATGACAGATTAACCCCAAGTAATTTATAGGTAGATACCCTTTCAATTGGGCGTTGTTGATGGAAATATTATCAATCACTGGAGGTACTCTTTTGAAACAGACAAACATTTCTTTGCATTTTACTGGGTTAAGCATCATTTTCTTTTCGTGTACAAATTCACAAATATCATTCGAGCTTTGTTGGAAATTACTAGAGCACAAGTTATTCACAATATGAAGGGTCTCACTAATAGTCAGGTCGTCCATATACTTCCATCTCCACGATTCTCTGTAAGCCAGAGCGTTTGCCATTAATAGAAAAAGAGTAGGTCCTAAAACACTACCCTGCGGAATTCCAGCTGGTACCGGTTTTCATTCAGATGAAAAACCGTTGACACACACTCTTTGGTGCCTTCCTGTCAAGAAACTACGAATACTCTGAATTAGAACAGGATGGACATCCAATTCTCTCAGGATATCCAATAAGATGTTATGATCCACTCTATCAAAGCCTTTACTCAAGTCATAAAAACAGAGTCTAATTGCATCGTTTGTGTTGTCGGTATTGGAATATAGAAAGTTCATGAGATCCACCAATGCACAGGTTGTGGACGAACCTTTAACAGATCCGAAATGGCGATCATCCAATTTGGGGCCAACATGATCAAGTAGTAGTGAGTTAAGATGACTCTCGTAGACTTTCGCTACTGGTGAGGTAAGTGATATGGGTCTTAAATCATTCTCTATATCAACAACTTTGGTTTTCTTGGGGACTGGGCAGACATCAGCACTCTTCATTCAGATGGAAAAAGACCTTCCATTAAACAAGAATTAAAGATATTAGTTAAAGGTGGGGCTAAAATTGTGCTCAACTTCTTTAACACAATGGTAGGGATAGGTTCAGGACCACAGGACTTCTTGGCATTAAGGTTGAACAGTTTTTGGGACACTTGGCAAGTTGATAGCAAGAAATTATCAGGGACTATAAGATCTGGAGGGGTAGGTACTGGTTCCAGGGGCTGATATTCGTCAACAATCCGCAGAAACACACTACTAATTAGTTCTGTTAATTCAACTCCAGTTGCTTCATGACCACCAAATCTTAACTTATCAGGAATCTTGTTTGGTTTCTGCCTAGTTATTGCTTTAACACCCTTCCACCATTTTCTGGGGTTGCAGGACCTTGTGTTATCTAGATTATACCTATAATGATTGCCCATGGCGAGCTTAATCTCTTTAGACACTTTGTTTCGGAAAAAGTTACGAAGTGGGACATTGCCTTTCTTCCAAGCACGTTGACGTTTAACAATGAGGTTCTTGATGTAACTGGTCATCCATGGTTTGTCGTTGGTGTTTAAACGGCAAGGTTTTGAGGGCATAAACTTGTCAAGAGCAGTGATACCTTTATTATAAAACACTGACATCTTATTTACAACAGAGTCCGCTCTGTAAACTTCACACCAGTTCTGTTTCTCCAAGCATAATGATAGCTTATGCAGATTTGCCCGATTTAGCTTCCGCCTATACAGGGTGTATAAAAAAAAAAGGAGACCTTTAGAAATCAAGCATATTGTTAAAATTTGAATGCCATTTCGATTGCACATATGCTGAACTGTGGTGCGTGAAATATTGATGGAGTGCATATATTAGAAAAAGGAGACCTTTAGAAATCAACCATTGTTATAATTTGAATTCTGGAGCACTTTGCTAAGCACATAGCAGATTGATCCTAGGAGCAGACAATCTTTTGTTTAAACGTTATTTCAAATTCTAAAGGTCTCCTTTTTCTAATATATGCATCCATCAATATTTCACGCACTACGGTTCAGCATATGTGCAATTGAAAAGGCATTCAAATTTTAACAATATGCTTGATTTCTAAAGGTCTCCTTTTTTTGATACACCCTGTAGATAATCTTGTTCAGTCCCTTAGGAGCAATATAATCCTGGGGGGAAAATAAGATTGAACAATGGTCTGATCTCCCCAACGGAGGGAGTTGCTGAGGTGCCGTGTAAAATTCTGAAATATTTGTTAAAATAAGGTCAAGTGTAACGTCATTACGCGTTGGAAAGTTGACAACTTGTTTTAAATGAAGCTTTCTTTCAATAGATTTTACATTCATACGATTAAAATCGCCCATAATAATAGCACCGGCGTCCGGGTAACGGATCAAATAATTGTCTGTGACTTCTATTATACGCTGTTCAAGTAAATTTGCATCTTTCGTATTATTTGGTCGGTAAACAATTCCTACTAAAATCGATGAAAACCCACGAGGGAGCTTTCTAGGGCGAACTTTGAGCCACATGCTCTCATAATCATCACACTGGTGTTGAGAAATTTGTTGTTGTTGAATATCGGACTTTACCCAGGCACAAATTCCACCTCCTAATCGCCCAACTCGGTCACATCGATAGATGTTATAGTCTACCAACGTTACATAATCATCACTAATAGATTCACTTAACCAAGATTCAGTAATTGCAGTAATATCAATCGAATACACTTTCATGATTTTGTCAAGTTCGTCAATTTTACTCATAATAGATCTTGAATTTGAGCACAGAATGTTTGGGAAATCGTACCTGCCTCTTACATTTGAGTTAACTTTCCGCGGAATGCTTGTAAGAGCCCTAGACCTTCGTTCCGTGTGATTGATTTTGTTTGCTGATTGCCATGTAATACGAACTGGGATTCTAGAGAGTTCTTGTTCAGCTTTCTTTCGTCTACCACCTCTCTTTCCTCTCTGGTGCTTGAAGATATTAAATGCTTTGAGCAGCGAAACAACATTACGGCTAACTTGTAAGGTCTTGGAATGAAGACGAATAAGTTCCGAACGCGAGAACTTCTGATGTGAAGGCATACTTCATTTGGGTCGAATTGTTCGCAAACAAACGCACCACAGAAACTGAACATTGGTTTTAGCCAAACATACAGATCACACATCATCTTATCTTGATATAATTTCTATGATAACTAAGTCATTGCTGTTAAGATTTATAACTTTATCAGGAGAGATAGAAACACACAACCGGCAGCCATGACAGGCGCACGCTACATGACAGGCGCACGAACTGTTCTTTGCAAGCGACGTTCTTCGAAGATGTTGGAACCCACTCATAAACTGAATGCCTTAGTACCGCCTAAAAGTCTTCAAACTTATAATCTGAGGTCTTATCCCAACTTATTAGTACCTAGGTGTAGAACTGAACGTTTTTCGAACAGTTTCATTCCTACTGCGTCTCGTGCTTATAATAATAAGTAAACTTTAGATTATTATCGTTATTGTTATCTAACTTACCTATTTTTACCTGTAAATATAGAATAGATTGAATACCTATGTTCTTATACCCTGTAATTCCAAAGTAATTCAGTTGTTACTGCTAGTTTGGAAATTTATAATAATAATAATAATACTCTGTCCAAACCAGAATCCGAAATAATACTTTCAAATTAAATGAGATCAACCGCATACTTTTGGTTATTATCTGGCTACGAACAGGGCCGCCGAGTGCTTGGCGGGGGCCCGGGCCAAAAAAATTTTTAGGGGCCCCTATTGCAAAAAAATTTTCCGGAAAAATTTTTTTCGCACAATAAATTCTTTTTAGGTGCGTTATAATTGCTTTCGTTGGACTTTTCCGCAATTTTCCATACCAAATTTCGGTTCATTACCCCCAAAATACAAATATTTTGGCCCGATAACAGAATTATTTCGCCTGAAAGAATGACTGGAGCCCATTAAATTTCTAACATTAAATTTCTAGGGGCCCCAGAGCCTCGGGGCCCGGGGCAATTCCCCCCCCTGCCCCTTGGCGGCCCTGGCTACGAATGTATCCTAATATTACAACGTTAAGTGCATTGTTCATGGTCAGTCCAACCACGATAGAGACATAAATCCGCTTTCTACTGCCAATGCTGTTGTGGACTTACTTTAGAAACTTAGTTCAATGGCCTACCGGCTACCCCTGAGCAATGGATGAACATGGTTAATAATTGGAAACACTTTCCAGGCGGAGTAGCGGGAATTGATGTAACCAGACACGAGATACAACGACCTCAGACGGACGCACAACATAGGCATAACTCTTCAATACATGCACTTAAAGTTGTGTTTCCCCATGTATAACACTTAGTGAAACTCACCTATAATAACAGATTGTGCATTTGGATGCATACTGTAAACAGGCATGCCGTACCGAAAATGCATGGCAAACACAATCCGGGCAAAACACTACTGTTTCAAGTTATTATGTATTTACTATATGTAGTTATACTCCGGCTAGATACTCGTTTTCTGTGCACCTGTAATACCCACCCGGGAATGGAATTTGCAGAGCCAAGCAATAATTTGAATTTCGTCCATATCATAACACATAATCTGCATACATAAGTTGCTTTATAGGTCGCTTTTAGGTCGCTTTAGGTCGCATCAGCATAACCAATCAGATCTTGGATTTTGACGAAAGAACATTGCATAAATGAATATAAGTCCGCTTTCGTCCTTAGATGCAGCTCAACTATTAGCATATATTCACTAACATAACCAATCAGATCTTGGATTTTGGCGAAAGAAGAATGCATAAATGAATATAAGTCCGCTTTCGTCCTTAGATGCAGGTCAACTATTGAGACTGTTGTGTTCATATGGGGTTCATCCTGCTAGCCAAGATGAAAATGCATTTGTTGTTTTATGCAAATCATGTACATTCTATGAATGCAACACAAATATTTAAATTATTTTTTAGGTTTTTCTTGATTCTTTTGCAACAAAAACCATTCGTTAAGCAACATAATTACGTGATGCTTATTATAAAACTATGTAAAAATCGTCAAATTAAGGTGGCTCGCTACAGTTTATACAAATGTTGAAAATGCGTAAGCTAGATCACCTTTGTGAAGAGATGATGCTCTTTACAAATCGAAATTTGTATATTATATATACAGCGACAATCAAACAGTCGAAAATTGGTCAGAAAAGTGACGTCACCACTGTTGCTATGACAACAATGACGATTCAAGATGGCCGATATTTTGGCTTTGAACGCATTTTACTTTAAAAAAGGTCGGTTACCCCCATTTTTTATTTCAGAAAACATTTTCTTACAGTGCAATTTAAAATCTGACCAATTTTAAAACAATTCTGTAATGCAAAAAAAAAAAAATATTTTGAAAAACCATGTTTATAATTTTTTAAAAAAATTGGCATTACAGAATTTTTTAAAATTGGTCAGATAGTGTATTGTACTATAAGAAAATGTTTTCTGAAATAAAAAAATGGGGGTAACCGACCTTTTTTTAAAGTAAAATGCGTTCAAAGCCCAAATATCGGCCATCTTGAATCGTCATAATATAAGCAATATAGAAACAAAATCTCAACGTTAACAAAATTAAGTAAAACAAATTATTATCATAATTATTTTTCTAACAATATAAATAATATGAAGAGAACCTGGCAGGACATTAATACTTTGATTAATAATAAAAGAAGAGATAAACGTAACATATGTACTTTGAAAAGACCAAACGATGGAGGTGTCACAAACGATCCCACCGAAATTCCAAATTTAATTAACAGGCACTTCGCAACAGTTGGACAAAATCTCTCAAACCAATTCCCTAGCTCTAAGCATGATTTCCGTGAATATCTAAAATATCCTTCTCCTACAAATTCATTTTACTTTGATGCTGTTACCCCTTTGGAAGTAGAAATGGAAATACTATTATTACCTGCCAATATGGCTCATGGACTATATTTATTTGCAGCACCAATCCTTAAAGGCGCGAGAACTATTATTTCTAAACCGTTAGCAAATATTATGAATGCATCAACTAAAACATGCACAAATCGTGCCAATTTTTAAAAGCGATGACAAAGAAGAAGCAGGAAACTATAGACCAATTTCGTTACTATCTAAATTAAATCGGATATTTGAAAAACTTATGTATAATAGACTAAAAATATTTATTGACCAAAACAACATATTATGTTCATCGCAATATGGATTTCGAGAGGGTCATTCTACAAATCATGCACTCCTTGATATCGTGAACAAAATACAAACAAATATGGACAATAACCTTTTTTCGTGTGGTGTTTTCATAGATCTTAAAAAAGCCTTTGATACAGTTACCCATGAAATATTATTGTCTAAAGTTAATCACTATGGAGTAAGGGCTATTATCAATAATTGGTTCTCTTCATATTTGATTGGTAGATCACAAACAACTAAATTAGGAAACTATATATCAGATAAAGAACATACACAGTGTGGCGTTCCACAGGGATCGGTACTTGGACCTTTGTTATTCTTGATATATGTTAATGATATACAATATTCTTCAAACAAATTGGACTTCTTCTTATTTGCTGATGATGCCAATTTACTTTATACTGACAAAAATTTAAAGTTTCTCGAAACTATTGTTAATAAACAACTAGAATATATTTGTGACTGGCTACTTGCAAATAAATTGACATTAAACATCAAAAAGTCAAATTTTGTTATATTTCATCCATACCAAAAAAGGTTAAACTATAAACCAAATTTAAAAGTTCACGACTATAAAACAAATACATTAATTTCACTGGAGCAAAAAGATTATGTGAAATATTTGGGTATTTTGATTGATAGTAACCTCTCATGGAAATTTCATATTGATCATATAACACTTAAAATAAGTAAAACTATTGATATCATATCGCGATTGAGGCATTTTGTTCCTTTTCCAACACTTTTAAATATTTATCGTTCACTAATTCATCCATATATTTCATATGGTTTATCTGAATGGGGGCAGACAGCTAAGACGAATCTGGATAAAATACTGATTCTTCAAAAACGTGCTTTACGACTGATGTTCTTTGCAACAAACAGAGAACATGCCATACCATTATTTGTAAATGCAAATGTCTACCGATAAGAATGCTCTATTATAAAACTGTGAGTAATTTGATACACGACATAGCCAATACTCTAGCACCACAAAACCTATTAAAAATGTTTACAAATGTAAACCAGATACATAGTCACAACACAAGATCTGCAATTGGTGGAAATTATTTTACTCAGCAATCGAATCAGAATCAAAAAAAGAACTCATTCTCTCGACTCGGAACTAAAATTTGGAATGGTATCCCTAATGAATTACGGAACCGACGTAAATGTATTTTTAAAACAAAAATAAATGCAATACTTTTCCAGGTCTTGGAAAGCGAGGATGTTTATGTTGATGTCACTACGATAATATCAAAGATAAAACATATAAGTTATTAAAAATATTTTTCTTCTTAGGCCGTTAACTAATTGTTGTTTATTTTCTTTTCCTTCTACTTTGCACAATAATGTATCTTTTCGACAGTGACTATGTACTATAAAATATCTATTCTAATCAACACTATACCCGCCTAGATTAATTTTTAACTACTTGCGGGTTAGTGTAGTGTGTAACTTGTTTGTTTTTAACTTATAATAAATTGAATTGAAAATTGAATTGAAAATTGAAAAAGTCATTGTTGCCATAGCAACAGTGGTGACGTCACTTTTCTGACCAATTTTCGACTGCTTAATTGTCGCTGTAAATATAATATACAAATTTCGATTTGTAAAGAGCATCATCTCTTCAAAAAGGTGATCTAGCTTACGCATTTTCAACATTTCTATAAACTGTAGCGAGCCACCTTAAGTAGCAAGATTGGAAATTTGATTTCTCCACCTCTTCCCGGCAAGCAGGCTAGTTTGTTCGTCCCACCGACCTATGGTCTCGGCTCACAGAGGAGAGATCTCGCCAAGAGGGCTAGCCCTCTTTCTCATATGAATGTGATGTAAATTTTATTACTAAATGTACTAGAAGGGGCAAGATCATAGGTAAGTGTGACATCTCGGTAAGCGGGATCACATGAACAGAATACATATTTGACACTTGTGAATTTTTTGTTGATTTATCATTCCAGTTGAAAAACCAGATGGTTTTGGTGTACTGTATATTGTGTGAACCTTTTAACAGAGAATTGTGATTCATTATCATGTGTGTTTTGGCAACAGAAGGCAATTCATGGCGACTATTTCAGCAGCAATTATGATGCTTTTTGGAAATAAAGACAAGAGAGTGAGATTTCGTCCGTTGGATAGTCCATGGCCAACACTAATAAAAGAACTGCAAAGCAAGGATCTGGTAGCTTAAGCCAAACTTTGAGCACAGTATGAAATAAGCCGTCCCATGAAGCTTTTAAAATATTATGCTGAAATGGAAATAAAATTAAACTGGAAACCATACGAATCCAGAGCAACATGAATAATATGTTTATATTACTCACATTGCCATTGCCTTTGTTGGAAGAGTCCAAACAAGAGACATGATATTGATAAAAAGTCTGGTACTAAATACTTGTAGTCTAGGACCTGCATGTATATGAGTTTGTATGCATTTCATTTAGGACAGATAATCTCAACTGTTTTAGGACAAGTTGACCATGACGGTCAACATGGTAACGCGGCCAGAACCCCAATCCGGGGCGAAACACCCGAAACTGACCATACCCAAAAATTACGCTTTCGCCATAGTACTATCTACCAAACCATAAAAGCTTTGGCTATTCTGAAGTGCTTATATGGTTCAGAGATGGTGCTTTTAGGGGTGGTCATTGGTAAGTGTGAAATGCCTACCACTGAAATTTCACAAGAAAATGACCATGTAATACTCATGGTCAAACGTCAATTTGTGGCTTACAACTTCAGATAAACAGCAGTGGACCTACATTACCTTTTTTCCTAAATGTTTTTGATAGAAACTTCATTGGTACTTATCTAAGTATATTATCACTGTTTTGGTGTAAAATGGTTAATATTTTGTGATCAAAATAATAATTTGAAATGTACCTACCTCCTGCAAATGGACGTATTTGGCCAAATTCGCCACTTTACTCCGCTGTTTATCACCGATACTCGTTGAAATCCTACCAAATATGTAAGTCAGTTCAGACATAATGGTCTCAAGCATATTTTGGACAAGTTTTAACTAGGTTTCAAGTAGATCCTAGCTGTTTAACCATCGACGAGGTAAACCTCAACTTTGTCCAAATTCGGCGCCATTGTGTGATCCCGTGTCGGTTGTCAATAATTAGGCCCCGTAATTCTTCCATCCAAGCCATTTCGATGGCACTAATAACAAATTTAACCCTTTATTAAGGGTATGAAAATAAAAATATCACTAAAAGATACGAAAAGCAGCATTTTACCACCCTGTAAAATGTTGCTTACGAGTCTTTCAAAACATTCCGTACAAATCTCGCGTGGGCAAAGTGACAGGGCCATGACAGGGTGGGGGGGTTAATGTTTTTCACGAAGCTAGAAGAAGGCTGCGTGTGCCAACGGGAACCCAAGCTGACTTAATTAACTTTAGCTGAATTTATATATATATATATATATATATATATATATATATATATATATATATATATATATATATATATATATAGGGATGTATTTTAAAGTTAGCTTTCAGTAATAGTTCGGTTTCAAATAAAATTAATTAAGTCGGCCTGGGTTCCTGTTGTCACACGCAGCCTTCTTCTGTCTTCGTGAAAAACATTAACCCCCCCCCCCCTGTCACGGTCCTGTCACTTTGCCCACGCGAGATTTGGACGGAATGTTTTGAAAGACTCGTAAGCAACATTTTACAGGGTGGTAAAATGCTGCATTTCGTATCTTTTATTCATATTTTTATGTTCATACCCTTAATAAAGGGTTAAATTTGTTTTTAGTACAATCGAAATGGCTTGGATGGGAGAATAACGAGGCCGAATTGTTGACAACCGACACGGGATGACACAATGTCGCCGAATTTGGACAAAGTTGAGGTTTTACACCTTGTCGATGGTTAAACAGCTAGGATCTACTTGAAACCTAGTTAAAACTTGTTTAAAATGTGCTTGAGACCATTATGTCTGAGCTGACTTACATATTTGGTAGGATTTCAACGAGTGTCGGTAATAAACAGCGGAATAAAGTGGCGAATTTGGCCAAATATGTCCATTTGCAGGAGGTAGGTACATTTCAAATTATTATTTTGGTCACAAAATATTAAGTATTTTACACCAAAGCAGTGATAATATACTTATTTAAGTGCCAATTTTGTTACTATCAAAACGAATTGGGAAAAAAAGGTAATGTAGGTCCACTGCTGTTTATTTGAAGTTGTAAGTCACAAATTGACGTTTGACCATGAGTATTGCATGGTCATTTTCTTGTGAAATTTCAGTGCTAGGCATTTCACAGTTATCAATGACCACCCTTAAAAGCACCATCTCTGAACCATATAAGCACCTCAGAATAGCCAAAACTTTTATGGTTTGTTAGAAAGCACTATGGCGAAAGCATCGTTTTTGGGTGTGGTCAGTTTCGGGTGTTTCGCCCCGGATTGGGGTTCGGGCAGGGTTATCATGTTGACCGTCATGGTAAACTTGCCCTAAAACAGTTGCATACAAACTCATATACAGGTCCTCGACTACAGTGAAGTTTGCAGCTTTATAGGTACAATTGCAGAATACCCCGCCAAATATATTCCCACTGCGTAGCCGACTTCGTTGTCATGCAGAAATAACTACGTAGGCGAATGTACGCTACTCGGAAGCAAAAACACTAAATTTGTTTTATATTACGAGTTTTAGTAACACATGATAATTGCAGTCATTTGTAGGGTTAGAATTAAGGTTATGGTTAGGTTTCATCGCGTCGCACCAAAAATACAACCACTGTATAATAATGCAAGTAATAAAAAACTTTTACTATCCTATAGCTGTATAAGAACTGCCTCGTTCTTTAAAAACAATGCGCTCAAAATGACAAGAATCATTGTATAATTATTACTAGCACTGCCTTAAAAATCAATGCGCTAATTAGCCAGTCGACTGCGTAAGCCGGTTGACTGCGTAGCTTTTTGTGGCGGGGTATTCTGCAATTACCCCGCTTTATACATGGGTGATGTGGCACTGTGAACATGGATATACTGAACCACAATGACAAAGTTACAAGCGTATGGACAATAACTGAAATATATCAAAACTATTAGCTCTGGTTTTAGAGCAAAACACTGTGAAAGATTGGCCAAATCTCTCGAGGAGAACACTTCGGTTGTTGTTTATTAAAATGGTCGCTTTGAAACATGCTCTGCTGCGAAACACATCTTTTATCTGGGCAATGATTCGCAAAAGAAAGTGATTATAGGTTCGACAATTTCCTCGTTCTTTAAACTGGTTAAAATAAAACCATGTAAATTTCATTGAATTTCAAGCATATTCTTGGTGGTCGAATAGTTTAGGTATTCGTGTTGCACGTGCTGGCTCCCGGATCTAATCCCGCTCGTGCTTTGTATTTGTAACTTTTTTTCCTTCCTACTTTTTACAAGTTTTTACCCTTTTAGGTTAGGGTTAGTGTTAGGTTAGGGATAGGTTTACGGTTAGGTTTACGGTCAGTTTTCAGGGTTAATGTTAGGTTTATTGTTAGTTTTAGAGGTTGTCCGACCTATAGCTGTGGAACAGGAAGGTCTGGTGTCGGACCTATAAGCACGGCGTTCATAAAATTATCCGAAAACTTAGAACTTTCCATTTTCAGAGAACTACTTCTCTGTTTGGATTAGTGAATAAAAAAATTCACAAGAATCAAAATATTGCTTAAGTTAGAAAGCAACCTCGCAACGATTGCATCAATTCATGCATGTTACTGATGTTAGTTAGTAAACACGGAAAACTATGAACATTAATTATTAAAGAAATCATAATAAATAATAAAACTTGGGAATAAGCACAAATTCACCTATTCCAAAGCTGATATTTCACTTGAGTAAAAAGTCATAACCAACAACAATTCAGTTTATTTGGTTCGCAAGCTCTTTTAATTAAACTCTGTTACTCTGATAATGTTCATTCTACGACACGTTACATTGCTTGGCTTTAAAAGAGATAATATCTTCGTTGTATCTGCAAATTATGAAAAGCAACCCTAGCATTTAATAGTTGGGACGTTAGCGCAGCTACCAAAAATATATACCAAACATTAAAAATTTACCTTTTACACGCCTTTCTTTGAGGCATTACGATCAAATTTAGGTCCATCCACGCCTGCATGTTTACATTTGTTTGAGATTGTGGCCGACGTAATTTATGATATACAACACGTGCGTACTCTGTTAGCCAATCATCATTAAACATTTAACAATTATTCGCCGAAGGCGAAGTGATTATCGGTGAATATTCACCGAGACGAAGTCGAGGTGAATATTCACCGATAATCACTGAGTCTGAGGCGAATAATTGTTTTAGTATAAATTTTTTGACGAAATAAAACAAAATATCCAAATATCAGTTAAGAATTCAGGAATAAAACTGTTTTCAGCCGGTGTTTTAGTGTTGCAGTGCTTCTTGTACGCACACGCTTTCAAAATGGCTTCCTGTGTGACTTTATTGTTTATTAGCCTACAAAGTTGTTTATCTCAATGAATCTCTGCTGAGAAATGAGAATATAAAACAAAATGACAGAATGCCTTTTTTACCAGGCTTAAAATTAAAAAATAGTTTCTGGTCAGCTTTGTTCTGGAAAAGGTTGAGAAAATTGGTAAAAATGAGATGCAAAACTATTGCTCGGAATAAAGTTTTAATACACTTTTCACTTTTACAAGTTTGGAAAACACAATACAGCGTGACTGGCACCGTACAGCACAATGAAAACATGACATATCGAAAGAAAAACCACCGTACAATCTGAGATATATAGGATACAAAACAAAATAGTTTCAAAATAATATTACGGCAAGGTTTATCATTATGCCAGCAATCGGGATAGTTTATTTGCTAAATTAGACAGGTAAAGTTTGAAGATAATGTTTGGTAGTTTTAAGTAAGTTTTAAATTTTCCGTAAATATATTTTACACAGTAAAACAAAGGATTCCTACCTTTCAGAGTTAAACATAAAATATTCTGCTTCTTTAGCTTTCTGCGGACGATATTTGGAGTAGCTATTTCATCGATTTTGAAACCAAGTTTGCCGAATCATTCTTTCGAAAAGCATTATTTACCAGGGTTGGTAAGAATACGCACTCGGACATCCAGCAAAAGGAGGTGCCTTCGGAAACAGCTTCCGAAGACAGTTTTCCGACTGTCGAAGTTTATTTTGCGTGTTGCGTGTGTCTTGCATGGAATGGCACATGCATTGCCAGCCTGCGAACAGGCGTTTATTTAGGAGACCCCCGAGTTTATTCCCATCGGGGGTCTCCTAAATAAACGCCTGTTCGTAGGCTAATGCATTGCCAGCAATGTTTATCATGTATTGGTTGTTTATTACTGTAAACCTCTATTTATATAATTTTAAACGTTAATTGTTGAAAGTACCGCTCACACAGCCAGAGAAATCGGACTTTTTCATCGCAACAGGCGAATTCGCATTTTGTGACCGGCCCTTAAAATAGTTTTTTGCCCCCGACCCTGGAAAGGTTAATCCGGCACTGGTCATATATTTTTAATTTAAGACACAAAATACTAAACTGCAGTTGCATATTTATATTAATGGGCCATTGCATTTATTATAGGCACAAACCCCCCCCCCCCCTCTATTGAGGGGTCCCTTCATAATCCCCTTAAGATATAAAAATTTTTGAACCCCCTTGGATGCAATTTGTGGAAGTTACCCCATAGGATATCTTACTAAACCCTTTACGATATCGCTTTTCCCCCTTGGATATCACTAAAACACCTAATTTTTGTCATTTTTAAAAAAGATCTCTCAAATTAGCAAGAAAATTTAAGATGAAGACCCCCTCCTCCCCCATTGGATTTCCAGACCCCTCAATAGGGGTGGGAGTGCACATATTAAATGGAATGGACCATTCAAAAAAATATGCAAATTTTAAGTAATATAAAGCAGTAATCTTGCTTGCGATCAGAGGCAAGCCGACAGCTTTTTGGGCCTCAGTCAGGAATAAAATCCGGGCTCATGTATGAGCGTATTTTAAATATATTCATAGCGTAACTTTGTCCTCTGGGGCCCATAGTTTGAACTGATAAATGGCGGTCGGACTAATTACTTACACTTGGAAGTAGCCAGTCATGCCGAGGAATTGTAGCTCAGAAGCCATGTGTATTTTCAGCAAAAGAAAATATTCTGAATCAGTGTGCAATATGTAAACCTGTCTAGCATGCACATGCCTGCATGTGCAAAATATGATACGTGGTGATGATTTTATGGGATATATACTGTTTACATATGTCTGCAATCATGAGCTAGATGACCATGATTAATAAGGCCATGTGGATAAGTCAGACACCTTGAGAGAACCTTTACCCAACATTTCAAACAAGAAAGTGCTTTGTTCTTAACTTTTCATTCCTAATTTAATTTCATGGCAGGGGATATATAACATCATATGTGCCATTTCCTCAGACTACCTCCTAGTTCCTTTCGATGTATACCGTAGCAAAAGTATTGAAGAGACCTTTGTGCACAGTTCACTTCGAAAAGATTCTGAGTGTGTAACCCATTAATTGACATCTCCACTTGCAGTTGTGATGTGCTCAACACTTGACATAAATATTTAGACCTCACCGTCTCCATTTCAGCTCCAAAATATAAGTTCCTTATTAGGCACAGAAATGCCCTCCAACCTCATTTACCATATTTCTTGCCATAAATGTAATATGCTTTATATTGAAGAAACTGGAAAACATTTAGCTGAGCATCCTCACGATTTAACCATTTAAGTGCCCTGATGCACCCTTCTTTATTATTTTACCCTGTTTAGTGCCAGGCAACCTTACTTGTCAAGGGGTGAGTGCTGCCACGCTATGAGTTAAGAACAAGATGCACAAACAGACCTGTTACCAGGCACTTCAATATTACAATTTACTCCTTTTCTAATAGGAAAGTCATGGTACCACTTGGTACCTGACTCACCCACATGGTCTTCATAAGATATTTTCTTACATCTAGCTCATGATCTGTCATTGCCTGCACACTGCAATCATAAACAGTATTAACACCCATATGATCATCACAGACTTATTATTATCACGCTTTAAGCTTTAATATTCCCATGGCCATCGTCAAGGCCGGCGGGAGGGGGGGGGCGGATACCCGGGGCCCGGAGTGTTCAGAAGGGCCCGGAAATGTCAGTAAAATGTTCGTATCGTTTATCATCGTTTATGTTTGCCCTAAATGAAGTACGGCTACTTGCTCACTGTCCGCTGATCGATCGTAATACGTACTTAAACGTAACGTAACGTAAACGTACAGCAAATAGGCACACTAAAATTTTTCATTTTCAAATAGGCACATTAAATTTACCGGCAATTCCTCCGTCGGTGGCACGGCCAGGGCCGTAGCGACCGGGGCGGATGTGGGGTGCAGCACCCCCCCCCCCTCCCCCCCTCAATAATTGTTCATGAGTAATTTCAGGTACATTTCCAGCAGATTTTCAGGTAAATTCAGGTAATTATCAAGGCATAAAAAAGTGAACCCTCTGCTCTGAATCAGAATTAAAGTTAACAATCGATCAACTAATTAAAGACGTTCACTCACGTGTTGTGCCCGGCGGGGAAGGGCAGACATGGTCAAATACCCTTTCTCACGATCTGGAGACTCCAAATTTCCAAAATTTTCTCAAGTTTCCTAGTCACGTTAAACTGTAAGTAACACTGTCAATTGATCAGTAGTTATTTTACTTATCTTCATTGTTAGGCAGTACTAAAATATTGAAATATTGGGTAGGAAAAACTCTAAAAATTTCTTGGCGCCAACCATGGTGGCACCTCGCGGGCGTCGCAAAATCACGTAAAAAGTTGGAAATATTCAGGTAAATCTAACCTCACCCCCAAGGCAAAGTCCTAGCAACGGCCGTGCGACACGGCTACGGGTAAAAAAAAAACGTATGGCCATCGGTGCGAGAGTCAAGGGGGGCGGACGCCCGTGTTCACCAATTTGTCCCGGGGCCCGTGTCTGGCTTTCGCCGGCCTTGCCCATGGTCATAATTCTGCTTCGTGAATATTGCCCGCATATTCCAGAAATAAAGAGTATTTACATCCATATGACCATCACTATATATGATATAAGATATATTTGCATTCCTTCTCGTGAAATTGTGTTTTTTATGGATTTTTTAAAACAACATTTTGTCTGTGTGCAGGTACGTGTATCCATTCTTCAGTGAAAGTTAATGCCTGACCACTGTGTGTCTGACATGTTTACAATTTACATACATTACAGAACTTCAATGTTTGTATTGTTTAGTACTTGTATCGCCTAAATAGTACATACTGCTACTGTTTGTTATCATCACTACTATACTCTGGCAGATTGTATTGAGATTGTATATTAGCTTATATTACTATGGTTAGTACATGACTGCCTCTGCATAGTATTCCTATAAAAGCAGCTTTTTTCATTTGTGGCTTCCTACTAATCTCCTTGACAAAGGTTAAACTAAACCAACTTTCTATATTCTGGCAACATCCCCCCTGCACCCTGAGTAAAGTATGAAGCAGTACATAAAACAGTCAGTTTCAAGACATATGTCTTAAAAAATATAAGCTTATTGCCTATTACCTGAATCGTCCTTGTAAGTTTGTATTCATTTGGTGAAATAACTATTAAAAATAATATTCTTTTGTTTTGTGGAAACACCACATGACTAATTTATTTGGCAAAGCTTTCCATCCATAAGCCCGGATGGTCATCATATATTCCAAATAAGGGGCTGATCACATGGAGAGTTTTCAGCTGTGGCCGAGTTTCAGCCCGGTTTCCTGGGCTAAAATTTCAGCCTGGCCTAAGGATAAAACCCCTTTAAAATATAATAACTGATTTAACATCATGACCATTCAGCCTGGTAGAAGCCACCCATGCTGGAAATTTTATCCCGGTTGACCGGTCTGAAAATCGTCATGTAATCGACTGGAAATATCAGCCTGAGTTGAGACTTGACATTTTGAGACTTGATCATTTCAGCCCGGGCTGAGATTTCATCCCAGCTTGAGTCAAATTTTAATTCAGCCCCAGGCTGAAACTTGCCATCTAATCGGGAAACAATATCAGCTTGATTAACCGGGTTGAAATTCGACCCAGGGCTGAAAACTATCCATGTAATCAGCCCAAAATATATGTGTTGTTTCCACATGTCAAAACAATTTTAACAATCTTAATATTTTTTTGAATATTATACAACGTACTGCAGTTAAGTTGTTACTACATAATTCAATGTAAAATTAAAATTTATGTCTTAAAATATATGATTACCAACTTCAAATTTTACAATCTACTTAATTTAAGTTTGGCAGACACTGCTTCTCCAAATGCTAGTAATTGTAGTTAATTTCAACAATCAACATCATTTACAGTACAATAATATGAATAGAAGTTTACAGGACACTAAACCATGCAAACATTAAAGTTCTGTAATGTAATGTATGTAAATTGTAAACATGTCAGGCACCAACCTTCACTGAAGGATGGATACATGTACCTGCACACAGGCAAAATTTTATTTTAAAACATCCATAAAAACCACAATTTCAAGATAGAAAATGCAAAAATATGTTATAACCTATATAGCAATGTTCATTAGCAAGACGAGGCAGAATTATGACCATGACCATGGGAATATTAAAGCATGATAATAATAAAGTCTGTGATAATCAAATGGATGTTAATACTGTTTATGACTGCAGTATGAAGGCAATGACAGATCATGAGTGGATGAAAGAGAATATCTCATGAAGACCATGTGGGTGAGTCAGGTACCAATTGGTACCATGACTTACCTATTAGAAAAGGAGTAGATTGTAATATTAGAGAGTTTGAGCAAGAGAACGAAGTCGGACGACGACGACGTGTTGACAATTTTTGCCTGTCTTCAACATTATCTTGCGCAATCTAACTTTAGGGTCAAGAGTAAAGACAAGATTAGAGATTCATGTCTAGCTGTTTATGATTGCTGACCCAAATCCTTATAGGCCGTCACATATCTGCTATATCTTTCAAGTTCGTTGCACATGTCGCGAGGCTAAAAAATCCACCATAACACAATGCATATTAGTCTCCTTGTTCATGAAATACAAAGCCCCTGTTTACTAGTGTGCATGCACAATAGGTAGAAAATAGACTTGAAACTTTGATAATATTCGATCAAAGTATCGTTTACGCCATCTTGAAATCGCGCGTGTTTTCATGGCAACATAGCTGCCACGTGCGGATAAAAGAAATATGGCGGCTGAAACAAGTTGGTCACTCAAACATTTAAAATTGAATAAATGTTGTATTCATTTTGAGGATGTTTCACAATCACTTCTAAAGGTCACGAAGAAGCATCTGAAGAGATTTGTTGCTTGTCGTGAGAAATTGGCGAAGCTCAAAGACCAGAAATCTGTCACAATTCGGACTTGTTTACTAGCGAAGATGGGGCCACCACTTAATTATAACCCCCCCCCCCCCTATAGACGAGAGTTTCTGAGGGGGGTTGAAAAAGCTGTTGCTGAGGGGTTGTGTGCATCGGCATACTTTGATCTTTGCGTTTTTCCTGAGGGGTAAGGCAAAAATTTCTTAATTTCTGGGGGGTGTTTGTGTCGGCACTTTGATCTTTTCTTCTTTATAGGGCCTTATATGGGTTCAAATGTTATCGAACTCGTCCATAGGGGCCGGGTGTACATTAAGTTTAAAGTGCGGTACAGTCTGTATGTAAACAAAGGCTTTGTTTACATGTTGGTATCCAAAACATTGAATTTCATTCGACAACTATTTATATTTTCATGATTCTAGAGTATAATAAATTATCAAGACACAACAATTACGCTTTTACTGTTTGTATGATAAAAAGAGGGCTCCTTTGTTCACATGCGCAGATCTAACTGTACCGCATCTTTAATGTCCAGAGCCCTCCCCCCCCGTCCTCTTTGGATGAATTTTTCTGAAGGGTGACCCCAAAGTCGTTTCTGTGCAGTTAAGCCTGTCGGCATACTTTGATGTTTTTTTTATTGTTCTGACGGCTAAAAAAAAATTACAAATATCTGAGGGGGTTTTGTGTCAGACTGTCAGCACTTTGATCTTTTTTTTTCTTGGGAGTTAAAATTTTACTGACCTTATCGATGGGAGGGGAATGTGGATATTAAATAGATAGCCCAATGTAGAAAGGCATTTTTCACGCTCTAACTGCTGTGGGGAACTTGAAGGGTGTTTGGGTGCGCAGAAGCGGCGGCTACCATGACCCCCCCCCAACAAAAAATGACCATAAACATTGGCCTGAGCCTCAGTTGTGTAGGGTCAGAAAATTTGCAACAGGTGGCCCCCAAAAGCAGGAATTGGTGAAATTGTGAAATTCGGACCCCCTTTATAGTAGACATAGACAGGGAAAAATTGGTTATATTTAAGGAAAATAAAACCCCACTTAAAAAATTAAATGGGAGCCTCAGGAGGCACTGGGAACTCAACTGTAATAATAATAATAAGTAATAATAAGTCATGGCCTGCTTGTGTGCAGCATGCATTGGTAAACTTTGGCCATGTAATATCAGAACTACTCCAAAAGAACTGTCTGATCATGGTGAAATTAGTTAGTCTGGCGACATGTGCAACAGATTTCATCTTCTAGATTTCTTTCAAAGGCTTTAGATGATGGGTAAACAATTTGAATTTTTTAGTCGCATTTTAGCTTTCTGACTTGCATAACCACTTTAATTCACACACTGTGGTGCACAATTTAAGCACTAGTGCAAAATAAGCCCTTTCCCTGCATACAGTCTGTCAATATAAGCTTTACTGGAAACAAAAAATGCTGACTCAGCATTTTTTTTTTAAATTTTGGAATGTGATATCTCGGTAACGAACGACTGAAAGTTTTCAGTGTAATATAGTTTTTTTATCCAATTATGTACCTCAATCTGATGGCATTAAACATTTTTCGAAATTCGAACATTTTTACCTTCTGGAACTATAGATGACGTCATCACCAGAATATAGTCGATTTCTCGTTGTTGTGCACACTTATGACCGGGGGCTTTTTTCATTATTTAATTTGGCATGCTCCTCTACTACTTTATGAAAGAAATCATTAATATTTTTAGCCTTATGTGACGGCCTATTACCCTGATCAGGATAAAACAGCGAGACATGAATCCATATCCCGTCTTCGTTCTTCTGCCTTCGTTCACAACGAATATTTTGGCAAAATTCGTTGTCAACTTCGTTCTGCACGAAAGCACAAGGACAAAGACGGGATATAGTTACATGTCTCGCTGTTTTTTTCTGGAACAGGGCAAGAAACAAGGTCAATATTCATAAACAGCGACACATGGGAAGACAGTACGTTGAGCAATCACCAGTGACGTCCAACACAGTATGCGCAAGATAATGTGCAGACGGCAAAAATTATCAAGTATGTCTTCGTACTTCGTTGTCTTGCTCAAACTCTCTATTGAAGTGCCTGGTAACAGGTCTGTTTGATCTTATTCTTAATTCATTGAGTGGCAGCACTCATCCCTTGACAAGTAAAGTTGCCTGGCACTGAACAGAGTAAAATAATAAAGAAGGGTGCATCAGGGCACATTGCCACTTAAATGGTTAATCATGAAGATGCTAATGTCTTCCAGTTTCTTCAATATAAAGCATATCACATTTATGGCACGAAATGTGGTAAATGTGTTGGAGGGCATTTCTGTGCCTTATAAGGAACTTGCATTTTGGAGCTGAAATGGAGATGGTGAGGTCTAAATGTTTATGTCAAGTGTTAAACATGCACATCACAACTGCAAGTGGAGGTGCCAATTAATGGGTTACACACAGAGGAGGTTGGACAGCTAATTAGCGAGTTGTCACGTGAGCTCTCGACCAATGAGATCGCTCTATTTTCCATCGTGTTATCTGCAGAATTTGGACAGAAAAATTTGCATTCGACGGAAAATAAATCGGAAAAAAATATTAATATTAAAATTTTCTTGCAAAATCTCAAGTGTTGTAGTACTACTACTAAAGATCTGGCGATATCTGCAAAAATCTCTGAGGTAAACTTTATTTTCAATGTTATTTTGATGTTTGAAGTTAGTCGACTCCCCGCAACGTGTTGACTCAAGTCTAAATATGTTTACGATGTTTAAAATGAAATATCTAGAATTCCCATGGTTCGATTTTCTTCATTTTTGGTAGTCGTCAAGAAAAATATATAAGCTTTAAATCTGCTGGAATGATCCCGGTGATCCCCCGGCAGTTTTCGAGATATTGACCGTTGAAGTGACTACTATCAACTCGACGTTCGCTAAAATGGCGTCTAATACCGTGGAAAGAATTTACGCCATCAAAGATGATGTTTTCAATGAATTTTTGTTAAAGTGCTAAAATATTATTTAGAAGACTTAGGAGTTGTTTTAATATTTTTGTAGAATTTATATCTGTGCGATTTTCAAAGTTTTGTTGTCTTTGGCCGACGCGACTGGATCGTGTACGTATTTCAAGACGAGCTGATCGCCTGATCCTGGGGTTTTTGCATAGATATCTGGGTTTTTGTGGCAAATCGAGCTACGGAATCCTCAGCATGGACAAATCAGTGTCATAACAGCCCATTTCAAATCATCAGAGAGCTCCACTTGTTTTAAAGCAATAAAATAAGTTTTTATTGTATTATCATATGTATCATATATAATTAATATAAACAAATTAAGGGAGTGGTCATTATTTATGGGGAGGGGAGTTGGTAAATGGTGAAAATAAGGATTAAAAACTTCGTTGGCCCCTCCTCTCCAGACTGAAGGCAAACTTTTTGTGCCTCCCCCTCTTAAAATAGAAACTTTTCTGCCCCCCCCCCCCAGTGGGGATTGAAAAATTAACAGCAATGAAACAGTTAGATATTAGGACAATCTGTTTAAATCTAGCTCATGATGTTTTACCCTGGTGAATATGATTCAACCATATATGATTAAAAAATATATATTATGTGTTACTACTGCAATGCAACATTTGTCCTACCATAACCCTAACCCATGGTCCGTCTTCATACAGTGAAATGATTTGAACACAGGGCTTTTTTTAAGAACTTGTCTGGGGGGTGGGCATCTACAAAAAGGGACCATACTATACTGAGTGTGGAGAGATGACAGATGGTTGTTGGTGACAAAAAGTTTGGTGTGGTATTGTATGTATTAGTAGGGGGGGTCTGGGGAAATTTTTTTGTATTTTTCCCCAGGACTGAAATGTGAGCATTTTCTGAAACAGATTTTTGGATATACAGCGTTACATTGTGCTTTGATAGACCGAATCTGATCAGTTAAGTGTACTTGCATGGTATGTTTATGTAAATACCACAGCTGGGTCACTCAGGGGGTAGGAAGCTTGTTAAACTTAGTGGGCACCACTCCCACAAGGCACTACCGTGGTTGGCACAGAGCAGGGAAATTTTGAAAATTTTGAGTCTCTAGATCATTGGAAATGGCATTTTCAGAGTCTTCTTTTTTGCTATTTGTGATTATAGAAACCAGAACTCTAGACATGGTATTTAAGTTCAAAAACTTTTTTACCCCCCCCCCCCTTTCTCTGTGTTAAAACTTTGTTTGGGTAAAACTTTGTTTGCCCCCCCTCCCATTTACCACCCCTCAATAAATAATGACCACTCCCTAAGTAGCATGTTATTGTTGGGATCTCAGATCAATTTAATAAATATATAAATAGACATCTTCTTGTTTTATTGTTGCATCAATTTTAATTGGAAAAAATACTCACAAAGTAGATCAAGTGTATGGATAAATTATTCATTTACTAAAGTACATTTTTACAGTTATTTATGCGACCTCGTACCCAGAGTCCTTCCTCTTGGGGAGAAAAGACCCCGGTAGATGCTGGTCACATGATCTGCTAAAATCTAGCAGATTTCTAATTAACTATCTTGAATTCCTTTATGACAATCATATACAAAATGCAAATTATAAATTAACATATAAAAATCATCCAAATATCAAATATTTATTGACCTCATCTTGGATTGCTAATTAAAAATCTGCTAGATTTTAGCAGATCATGTGACCAGCATCTACCAGGGTCTTTTCTCCCCTGGGTACGAGGTTGTTATTTATGTACTTAGTCTTATTTGCATGAGTGTACATGACAGATTGTTTTAATTAGATATACCCAGTTATATCATAATTTTATAACATATGGTTTGTTTAAAAATGCTGGAAAAAAACAAAAAAGTTAGCCAATTGAAATAAATGCACTAATAACTTGCTAAACATAGCTAATTGCTATTTATTATATAAAAACATCTGTCAACATACACTCATGCTTTTTCCTACCACCCATGAGTCTCCACTCACCAGGTTTCATTATGAAAATTTTTGGATTAAATCATGGGTGGATTTACTGAGGGGGGGAGTTAGGAGGGCTTAAGCCCCCCCCCCCCTTAGAATCTCTCTAACCCATCTTATAAAGTGTTCGACCCCACCAAAATTTTGCTTCAAACGTCTTTAACCCTAATGCCAAACCCCTGTAAAAAGCTCACTCAGTGGTGCTGCTTGCCCCCCCTGAAAGGTTTCCACCCCTCCTTTAAAAAAAAATAAAAAATCCACCCTTTTTAATTAAAAAAGTCAACCCTATACTTGATACACTGAACATAGACAATAGACATCCACGACATCTGCAGCAATTAGTGGGTGCAAATACTTGCATAGTTGAAAAGCAATATAACCAACATGTTGTCATCCAGTTCCATAGTCTAGTCAATAGGCAATTCCAGCTTTTAATTTATGTGTGCAGGGGGCAACAGGAAGTAAGGTATCATATAGCTGATTATGCTGAAAAATTTTAATAAAATAAACTAAAAGCTGGAATTGCCTATTGCACTTGGGCCCCTTGGATTCAATGGTGCTGGCCATATTCTTACATTCACTGTTTTATCTTGTTCACGAAGAGTGGGGTATTATGTCTTAATTTAATTTTCCAAATGATGTTGGTAGTTTTTCTCACGAGCAGCACTGATGCACTTGAATGCTACAGCATGGGCGTTTCCTCCTCATCACTTTCATCTTCTCACTTAAACGTCATCACTTTCTGCCCTATCACCTTGATCACCTCTTTCATTATCATATCCATCCTGAACAGGCTCAAGACCAACCAACCACTCAAGTAAATCTCTTTCTACAAAATCATAACAAGAAAATTATTATTTGATACATTATCATCGCTAAAATTAGCAAACATGTAATCTCTAAAATTATATTCTCACAACCATCCACAACTAGATACAAACAGGCATCATACTCAGCAAAATGTATAAATAACTGAATAACATACAAATAACTGAATACAAATAACTGAATAACAATATACCTTCAGACTCATCTGAGAACCAATGTATAAACTATACACAGTGTACATATATGTAAAAATCTATCCATACAAACAGGTATCATACTTCAGCAAAAAGTTATTAAACAATTCGTTTAACTCAAAACATGTACATATGTATCACAGTGACACAGTACATATACACACACAATAGGGTCAAATTAGAGGCATTGTAAACACAAGTATGACGCCATAATTTTGTACAGTGTATTTATAAAATTACAGTACAAGAATAAAAACAACAAAGCGGAAATTTGACTATAAAATAACACGATAACTGTAATGCATTGTAGTATACCAACCTTATTAAAATACTGCGCTTGTTTTCACGTTGATGATACACGGAGATTTAACGCCATCCAACTTAGAAAGAAGAGCCTCGCTATTGGGAATATAAAATTAAACACAATTCCTTTTCTCAGACGGATTATTTATAAAGCTAAAATGACAGCACGTCCCATGCAATTTAAATTAAAAAAGGTAAACTTGATATAGTAAAACACAAGTCATAATGATGATCGCAACAATACAGCAATAACATGCTGTTTCTTTTCACAAAGTATCGCAGCCTGACACTCTTGTCGTTCGAAAGCTTCCATATTGGTTTAGTCAGAGAGATGTTCACTCCTCGACAGTCAACAGTCAATGAAGCCACGCGCGGAATTAGGCGCTCAATACCCATGATGCTTTGCGGCCTGCTGTCCAACCTCCTCTGGTATCGTACACATACTTCTGATATTATTTTATTTTTATCAGTACCTTGAATAAAGCTGTTTTATAAAATTGGCGCAAGGGGCCTGGGAACGACATTGTTACCTTGGCAACAAAATTAGAAGTGTTTTTCCATGCGTCTCATGTACAATCAGTATCCAAAATTTCATTTCATTTGGGCCCATAATAACTGAGCTATGCTTCAGTGTAGTATTCAATAAACATACTTACCCAGCTAATGACGTCACACGTTGTGCTGAATCAGCAATTTATATTTTGCACATTTTTGCGTATAACTTCGGAACTAGATGAGATAGAATGAGCATTAAACGGCCAATCGGCTTATTTTTTCATGCTCTTTCAGACGAAGCAATAAGATAGATGAAGCAATTTTCATTGCCCATACCCTTTA